GCCTATCATATAGTTAATCCCAGCCCATGACCGCTCACAGGAGCCCTATCCGCCTTTTTACTAACATCCGGACTTATTATATGACTACATTTCAATTCTAAAACACTACTAATCATCAGCCTTCTAACTAATTTCCTAACAATATATCTGCTGCCGCGAGCGGGACCTCCGCATGCCGCCCGGGCCTGGGCGCGGGCCGGCTCCTGCAGCTACAAGAGAGGATGAGTCAGGCAGGACCACCACCCACGAGGACAGACTCACCCACCGGGACCGACGCCCGGCCGAGCCAGGCCCCAGGCCCGCACCGAGTCCATCCCCAGCCCTCTGGACCTTCTACTCTGAGAAAGAGTCTGGCTAAGTGGCCCAGGCTGAAGCCTGTGATCCTCCCGCCAGAGCCTCCCAGAGAGCTGGGACTGGAGATGTGCATCCCCACACCCAGATGACTCCTTAAAGGCTTTCATTTTGATGCAGACTCAGTTGCCCAAACTGGCCTCAAACTTGCAACCCTCCTGCCTCAGCCTTCTGAGTGACTGCAACCAGTCCTGCTCACCGCTCAGACCTTCCGTCCTCAGTGGTGCCTGTGACCCGAACCCTGTGGCTCTCACAGTCAAGTGACATTGCTGGCCATGCCCAGGCCAAGCCCTCCACCTGAGCCGGCCCACACCAGGCCCCCATCCTGCCAAGTCCCTCCTGGCCTCTCCTCGCTGCCTCAGCTGCAGCCCGGGGAGCAAACACCAGAGCCCCGACAGCTCCCCACTGCCGCTGCCGGAGGACAGGCTGGGCGGCCTGCATCATCCTCAGAGCCCTCAGCCTGGGCCAGGTCCTGGGCCAGGCGCACGAAGCTCAGGCTCCAGGGAACGGCCTGGAAGGGACCCTCTGGACCGCTCCACCTGTGTGCTGCTCCGCAAGTGCACACCACCAGCCCTGGAAGAGCCTGGTGGCAGAAGCTGGCAGGTCCCTGAACACGTGCACACGCCGAAGTGCAACCCCACGTGACACGCAGCACGGGTACTCGTCCTGTGGGACTGGAACGGTAACATCGACGAGGGGTTCCGAAGGGCGAAGTGAAGTTCACTCTCGAGGCGGGCAAGGGAAGGCGGAGGGCGTCACAGGCCCTTTCTGGTTTCAACAGACGAAGCCCACCTGGGGCAGCCTCGCATGACAGCAGGGCGGAACATGCAGTCACGGCAGGGATGGGAAGGCTCTGGAAGCCCAGGGTGTTTACCACACAGCCCCGTTGGGGAGGGCTCCTGACCTGTGGCCCGGCAGAAGTGTGACTCAGTGTCATGAGCCCATGGGCCGGGGCCACCAGGGGCCGTCGGGGGAGGGGGCAGGAGAAGCCAGAGTGGGAGCAGCCATCGGGCGGGCGGGAGGCCACTTCCCCCGAAGGGCCGGTGCTTCCGCGTGACCTGAGCGCACCTGCCGCCTCCGCTTACGGAGGAGTGGGGCTGAGAGCCCGCGGCTGCCAGTCAGCCCCTGCAGACGCCCCGGCAGGAGGGGAGGGCACTCAGAGACGCTGTGCACCGGACACCAGCATGGATGCCGCGCCCCTCCGCTGCTACCTCACCTCCTCGTTTTCCACTGTCTTTTTTTTTTGTTACCAGGGATCGCATTCGGGTCCTTGTGCTTGCGAAGCAGGTGCCAAACCACGAAGCCCAGCCCTCCACTGTCTTCTACAGAACTGCTTATTTCTGTTTTGAGACAGAGCCTTACTAAGTTGCTACACTGCTCAGGCCGGGCTCACGCAGGCCACCTCCTGCCTCGGCCTCCCGAGTGCCAGAACCACAAGTGTGGCTGCATGCCCGCCTTTCCTCTCGACTGGCTCCACAGTCACCCAGGCCACACACCCAGGCCTTTCTGAGCACACAAGACAAACACGGTCCGGCCCAGAGCAGCCCGTCACCCTGTAGGGACCATCGGGCCGGGAGGACGCCTCGAGAGGGCTCAAGAGCTGAGCATGGTGCCACCGCAATGCGAGCAGCCAGGAGCCCCAGGGAAACCCCAAGGGAGCCACCCAGGCTCCACACCCCAAAGCCAAGAAGAGGGCAGCAGACCCCGGCACACAAATGCTCACAGCACAACCCCAACACCCCAAAGGCGGAACAAAGCAAGGGTCCTCCATGACGCATGACAGACAGGACATGGGATATTATTCAACCACAAAAAGGAAAGGCTGCCACATGCCACAGCACAGGCGAATTGAAAACAGGACCTCAGTGACAGCGACAGGCACGCGGTGTGACGCCTGTGCGGTGGAAAGTCCAGACCGGTGAATCCACAAGCTGGGCCACACGTGCATGCCCTGCTCCTGCTCCTGGGTTTGCTCTTCAAACCTGCAACATGGGTGGCAGCAGGGTGGGCAGGCGAGGGGAAGCGAGGACGTGATGGTCTACGGCTCCAGGGAGGAGGCGGCCCAGGCTCTGCTGCCCCGCACCCCTCGGCCCCCACAGTCTGCCCTCCGCGGTGAAGACTCAGCTCGCCGTGCCTGCAGACACCATGCTGGACAGGGGACAGGCCTGCACCTTGGAACAGAGTGCAAGCCCCTCTCCAGAGCACCCCAAGTCTCGATGGCCCGGGACCCGGAAGTCAGCCGTGCGTGGCCGAGCTGTGGCACAGGCGGATGTGAGGTCTGTGCCCCGGGAGCACCCCAGGGCGGGAATGACAGTAAACGGGACTGCGACTAGGAACGTACACTGAAGGTCCTGTGGGGCCAAGGCAGAAGCCCTGACAAAGCGTCCTTCCCCGACCCGCACCGATCATGTCACCACCTGTGCCAGAGCTCCCTCACCCATCCCATCCTCAGCCGCCTTGGACACACGCAGCGCCAACAGGAAGTAAAGCACATTCCCATCCCTGGGTGACCCAGCCAAGGATTCCCAGGACCATCTCCTCCTCACCAGCGGAAATCAACTGGTCACCTGGAAAGACCAAGAAGACAGCCCCGAGGTGAAGCACACACAGTGCTGGTGGACAGGTAAAGGACCAAGACAAGGGCAGGATCATCCACCCAGTGGAGTACTACACAGTCATGAGGAGGAAAGCAGCCCCAAACCACATGACTGAACCTCAGAGCCGCAAACAACAAAAGCACCAACAGCCACACTGGCATGGAGTGTGGTGCACTCACAGGACACGCGTCCAGGCAGGGAAGCGTGGGGAGGGAAGGGGTGACAGCTTGCAGGCACTGGGCTGTCCCTGAAGGGCAGGAATGTTCTGGAATCAGAGGCCTGCCCATGCAGGATCCACTCACTGTCTCCAATGGTCAGTTTATGTCATGCACGTGGCTGCAGCCTGGGCACCCTTCCATACCTTGGTCCAGGGTGGGCGCTGGGGTGGCAGGAGGGCACTGGGCCGGGTCCCAGTCTCACCCTCCCGGGCATAGTCCTTGATGGCAATCGTCATTGGCAGGGTCCTGCTGGCTCTGTCCGCTTTGACCCCGAGGTAAGGGATCCCTCACAAGGGCGACGGCCTGGGATGTGGCTCTCAGGGATGCCAGGGGTGACGGAGCAGCACAGACTCCTGCCAAAGCCTGTGTCAGGGCACCCCAAGGCAGGGACACAGTGGGACCTGCAGCTCCCAGCAGGAACAGTCTGAGCCACCTAACTGCATCTGTAGTCAGGTGTGGTGGCACACGCCATAAACCCAGCATTCTCAGGCTGAGGCAGGAGGATCCCTGCAAGTCTGAGGCCAGTCTAGGCTACATAGCAAGACACCGTCTCAAACAACGAACTAAAACCTGGGTCCCTAAGGGTGCAATCACAGACAGCCCTGCAGGGAGCCTGACCAGCACCCCGGGGGCTCATGGCCAACCCTGGCCTCAGCGCGTGACCTTGCTTGAGACAGGGTCTGCAGGCGCCAGAGTGGGAAGAGTCAGGAGGGCTCCCAGCCGGGCTGAGGGAGGGGAGCAAAGCCGCTGGGGCCTGGCGGGGGGGAATCAGTCGCCAGTGATCGGCACTGCCCCACCTGTGCCCCTCTCTGACAGCAGCCTGGCCCACTCCAGGCACCCAGAGGCAGAAACCAACCCTGTGTATAGCTGTCACCGCAGGCCTTGGACCTATCCCCAAGGCCACATGCTCCATGTGGCCTGAGCCCGGGTCCCCTCCAGGATCCCCTCCAGGATCCCCTCCATCTGTTGCCTTGAGAACAGCTCCACCTGGGGAGCTGACGGCCCCAGGGCTTGCCCTGCCGACACCTGTGGTGACAGCCACCGTTCAAACCCTGGAAATCAGTCCTGGCCCCATGGACTGGCAACCACCGTACGGGGCCGGAGGGCCCAGGCTCCCTGCCCTCTGCGCCCCTGCTTCTCCCCAGGGCGGCTGCCCTACGGGACGCACTCGGTGGCACCTGTGGGGGAACATGACCGGCTCCTGGAGGTGGTGGCTGGGCCAGTGGCAACATCCCACAGGACAGGGCACAGAAGGAACACCTGCCACCCCACGTCACCAAGGCTTTCCCAAGACACAGAGGGGACCGCAGCGGGCACGTGTCAGCGTGGCTCCACCCTCCGTCGACTACTGGCGCAGGGAGACCCCAGCAGAGCCCTGGGCCTGGGCACAAGCCGAGGGGTGACCGGCGAGGACCGGCAGGTGGCCAACCCCATGGGCCTGACCATGGCAGCACAGGATGGTCCTGGCTCCAGCGTCCAGGCTGGCTCTGAGTGGGCTCCCAGGTGACCCTCACTGCATGGAGGCCGTGGGCACTTCCAGAAGCTTCGTCCTTCCCAACACCGAAGAGCCAACGGTATGGAGCCCACTGGACCCCACAAATGGAGCTGCTCCGGGGCGTGCCTGGCCAGTGACCACAGCAATGCCATGGACAGGGACTCCCGTGGCACCCCCTGGGCCCAGACACCCCCCAAATTCCCAAGGCACTGCTCGTCCAGCAGGTCCCACCTCTCCTGAGTCACCCTAAACCACCGTGTAGGATCCAGAAAACCCCAGCAGGGACCTTCCAAAGCTGGCGAGAGCCCAGGCAGGAGCGTGCTCAGGGCGTGAGACCTTCTCTCCCGGACCCCTTCCTGTGGGGAAGCAGCCTGCGCTTCAGCAGTGCAAGGGCCCACTGTGCCCCAGAGATCTGCGGTGAGGCCCCAAGCCCTGGTGGGTTAGGAGGCGGCTATCTTTGATGGCTTGGCTAGGGCACCCCTCACATGTGTGCCACGTGTGCTGCTGAGGAAACCAGACACAGAGGCAGGATCAATGCCACCTGATTCACGGGGACCCCAAGATGGGGGATGGTAGTCCCCTGGACCGACCGTGCTGTGCACTGTCACGGCAGAGCCGCCCCGTGGTCCCTCAGTACATACCACCCGTGAGGGCGGGGCTACGTGCACATGAGTCACGCGGGGACAGCTTATTCATGGCCCCAACAGAGCCCCGGCGAACCCCTGAATCACTGCCGCATTCCTCATCGGGCTGGCCTCGGAAATGAGCACAACCCAAACTCAGGAGCTGCCCCGGAGACACACCCGGGCCCAGACAGGAGCACCACCAGGCCGGCAGTGGCGGCAGCAATGACCCAACGAGACGAGACAGGGGCCTTTGTTCTGCCACCAGGACAGCAGCGAGGGCAGAAGAGAAGGCCTGTCTCGCTCTCTGTGCGGAGGTCACCCTGCGCTGCTGACCTCAGGCCGAGCAGGGGCTGCCTGGCACAGTCGGGCTGCTGTCCAGGGACGGGGCCGCACCCAGAAGGGCCCATCAGTCCCAGGCCCCAGAGTGCCCATCTCTAGCCAGCGGAGAGGAAACAATGTCATGGTCGGGGGGCCCGGGGATGGAGGAGGGACAGCGTCTCAGGGTACACGAGGAGGTGATGTGGCTGACCAAAGCCTTGATCCAGGCCAGCCTTCAAAGTAGCTTTTGAGAGACCAGAATCTAGTATCTAATCTCAGAGGAAAAGTGACAGTTTGTTCCCAGATGGGGACAGGACCTTCAGAAATCCAGCTCAGGGTGACAGAAAGAAGAGGAGGACAATGCCCCCGCTGTCCCTGCCCCCCGCCTGGCCTAACAGTCCCCGCTTTATCACACCCACGCGCTGCAGATTCAGAAGCCAGCACAAGGCAGAGCCCAGGGCCACCCATCCCGCCCTCGGAAGGCCACCAGACCCACCGAAGCCAGGGCCAGAAAGGAGTAGAGCCAGGGCCGCTCCAGCCTCCTACACAGATGGAGGCGCAGCTGAGAAATTCTGCATCCATTTAAGATGGCCCATGACCCTTCACGGTTCTTGAAGGCCAGAGGACCAATCTCTGAAGATGTCACCTGCCCGGGCCTGTTTCAGGGCCTGTGCTGATGGCTGGCAGCGTGTGTGAAAGCACCTATCCCACAGGCACCTAGCGAGGTCACTGCGACCAAGGGGACCCTGGCTCCCTGAGGCAGCACTCCAGCTCGTTGCAGGCCACCCTGCTGAAAGCCCCTCGCCCCACAGCATGCCCGGTGACATCTGGTGCCACCTCTGACACCCAGTCCGAATGCCATCTGCTCCACAGAGGACACCAGACATCCCTCCTCCGGGGGCCGAGGGCCAGCCACATGTCCAGTACCGCCGGCCCTCACTTTGTTGGACTCCGGCCTACTCAGCACACAGAGCTTGGAAGACGGGGAAAGGGAAGTGGCCAGTTAGCAGGTCCCCGGCCAGGAAGAGAAATAGATCCTGTGGTCAAAAAGAAAGGGAGATTCCCGAGACCACACCGGCACCCCATCCCCACGCTGGCTACGAGGGCTGTCCTGCCCAGGGACTCCCAGCCACAGGTGTGGGGACAGGTACACCTCCAGGCAGGTCCACACCACAGCGCCCGTCACCAAGACGAGGGCTGGGGCGAGCTCGGGGGTAGGCGTTTGCCTGGCATGTGTGAGATCTGCATCCCATCCCATCACCGCAGGAGAGAAAGAAGCCTGTAGGGTCACTGCAGGGGGAATTTAAGAGATGGGCGCTGCACAACGCGGGAGGCAGGGTGTGTCCTGCAGACGGCAAAGTTAATGAGAGGGGCTGGGCTGAAAAATGCTGACAGCACCAATCCCTTCCTCTCTCAGGTGAAGGACCAGGCAGAGAGGCTGGCCCAAGACAGTGCCCAGTACCCCTGGAGTCTCCTCCAGAGACCCCACTGGGCCACAAAGCTGCAGGAAGCAGGCTCCGAATGGCCCCAGGGTGGGATGGTTCTGTGCTAGCCCCCTGGCCACCAGGGTGTCTGGGCCAGAGCAGGCTCACACATGATTTCTGCAACAGGAGAGACTGGGCTGTAATTGTGTGTCCCGGAGCAATCAAGGCTCCGAGATTCCTGCCTCCAAGGGCAGAACATTCTGGAAAGGAGCTAGGGTGCTTAACTAAGGCCTTCTTAGATGTTCAAATCCTGCAGATCCATCTTCTGGACAAGCTGGACTCCCCCCCTTTCTGGCAGATCACAGATAAGGATTCCCAAGGTGTTGAAAGAGGGTCATTAATACCAATCAGACCGCCCATCCACAGACCCTTGCCAGAGCAGACAAAGGCAGGGCCTGTGACACTGTCCAGCAGCCCAGGTTAGGGTGCCTCCTGCTCTGACACCTGAAGATTCTGAGGTCTCAACACTGGAAAAGGCCGTGGGGAAGGCAGGAGCTGGGACCCTCACCAGCCAGAGGAGCAGAGGAAGGGTGGAGGAGCAGCCTCTTAAAGACCCTTTGCCTCCAGGGAGCCCCGGAAAGGAGGGGGTGCACGCGGTGAACCCGCCTCTGCAGAGGCTGAGCTCACAGCCACCGCCGCCGCCGGGGACACGTTTCCTGTGTGTCGTTTTACCTATTTAAGTCCAAGGACGGAGGCCGCGGAGGTGGCACGCATAGCGCCCCCTCCCCTCGGAAACACAGTTCGGGGGGCCCCTCTGGCCCTTCCTCGCTCCCCGGGACCCCGGAACCACCTCACGGTGTCTTGAACGCCAGCGAATTTCCAAGACAGGGTGGCAAACGCAGAGAGCCAGGGAGGGCCTCGGGCCAGCCACAGCCACCACCACCGGTGTGCAGTCGGGAAGGCGAGTTATGAGGGACGGGGAGACGGCTGGGCTGCACCTCAACACCCCACACCGCGCCGCTGCAGCCTTTCCTCCTTTGCCCTCCTCCCGGCCCCCGCTTTTCCC